TGCTTTTTTCAAAATGGAAGAGCTTTCAGGGTTTCTCTTATGATAAAATATGTGAAAGTCCTCCATGATCCTCCTCAGAGATAAGCCTCACTACCAACTTGAAGCTGCTTTATGCAAACTCTGTTCTTCGCATGTATCAGCAGGGATGGCTCTTTGCAAGGAAACCTGCAACAGAAGGAACCACACTCCACATGCTCATCTCTAAACCGCTCATTTAAACACCAGATTCCACTTCAGTACAGACATCTCATTCCTGCTAATATCTGCACGGGGTCCATTTATTTATCAAATCCTCTTTTAGTGAACATTGTGTTCATTTGGGATTTAATTCAGTCCAGTCCAATAAATACTCATTTTGTGCCAGATGCTAAGCAAGGGACTCTTAAGACCTACAAGGTAACTGGGACAGGCCTGGGCCGTTGCTCCTGCTGAGGGATCCTGGGAATCCCAGCAGGCTCACAGTCAGATAACCCGGCTTCACATCTGGGATCCTCCCCCCATCAGTGTGATGACCTTGGCTCGTTACTTCATGTCTCTGAGGTGTCTGCCTCACAGAGCCATTGGGAAGAGACAACGAGCCTACTTGGATGGAAACACTTGGCCCCTATGTTAGCATCCTGTCCCCTTTCACTATCTTGCTCAAAGTTGATCAGCTACACACATACACACACATACTTTTGTTTTGTTTTACTTTTTTTTCTTTTTTATTAAACTATTGCTTTCAGAGTTAATTCAGAACAGCCTGATCCAAATAAGTTATCAAAGGAGTGGGTGAAAGCAGAGTAGTAGAGTAGTTAGCATCCCCGATTCCTGACCCCAGGTGTGGGCCTCTGCACCTTGGTTTGTTCATCTGTAAAATGGACGTTGTAACAGTAACTACCTCATGGGGCTATTATGCAAATTCAATAACATCATGCAGGTGTGTAAACACTCACCTCGTTTCCCCAAATCAGTGCACTTTTTCCCCAAATCAGTGCAGCTCGTGTGGAACGGAAACCAGCCTCAGGGAGAAGGCCTGCAGGGGTGCCGTCTAACAGGAGGCTCCCACGTAACTCCTGGGGAGCTTTGTTTTAGAGGAAAAGTCAAAAGGCCTTTTTACTCTAGGGCCGTCTGCCTTTTATGAGATTTGCCAGCGCTGCGTGAAAGTCTGGTGCCTTGACAAGCACAGGCGTACCAACGGGATCAGTGTTTGCACACCTGCGTGGATCTTTTTCTTAGATCTGAGTGTGTCTCAAGGTCAGCCTCAGCCTCCTCCTCTCTCCTCTCCCTGCTCTCTATCCCCTTCCTTCTCACACGTAGGAGATAAACTGTGATCTATGGAGACAGCCCCCCATTCAACATTTCTAAGTAGGTGATTTGCAAAACTATAACCTTTTCCAATTAACTCCTGTACCTTTGTCTCTTGTCCTGCACTATCTGACCTGAGTCCAGCAGTTCATTCACTCACCCAGCAACTATTTATGGAGCCCTATTTTGGTCCAGGTTCCCTGAGGGGAAATTTTGTTGAAATGCCTGAGTCAGAATCTTATATTTAACATTTCGTTGCACAGTTCAATTCAGAGGAAGCGAGAGAGGGAAAAAGGGAAGTGAGGAGGAGAGAGGAGTAGAAACGAATTTCCAGGTTGACTACAGATTTGCTGCAGGCCCAGCTGGGCTCCGGTCCATGGAGCCTCTCCAGCGAGGCTGTGTGCACCCAGTGCGCTCAGAAGGGTGGGATGGCTGCGTGGTAGCCACTGGGTCAGTCTGAATGGCTGGTTTCTCTTTTCTCTCCGGTCTCAGTTGGTCAGAGTCTTGCCTGTGGGCACATAGTCCCTGGACTTCTGATTTGTGTTCCTGCCTCTCCAGGAAGGGGCGATGCCAGCAGCCCGGGTACAGGCCCAGCACCTGCTTCTTCTCAGTCAGCTCCCTGCCTGCAGGCTTCTTTTCTCATAGGTTTGAGACCAGGGAAATGGCCTGAGCCACCACCAGATTGTTCTGGCCCAAAGCAAGACAGAGAGCTGGGGGTGGCGGGGGACGTGGGCCAGGCCCCGAGCTGCGCCGGGCACTATTGCTGTGTTCTGGGGACAGAACCATGAACAAGACAATTTGCCCTCACAGAGCTCAACTGGTGTCATGGGAATGTCCTGCTACCACCTCAGCCTCAGTTTAGACAAAACAGAAGCCCCCGTGCCCCTTTCCTTCTCCCTGCGTCCCCCTGTCAGTTAGGGGCATCAGCGCCTCTCAGCCACACAGGCTCAGTTTGCAGAGCGGAGACTCATTCCTCCATCCGCCTCTCACTGCCCCCAGATCCCAGCACACCTTGTGGTTCAGACAGCACCTACTGAGGCCCTCCAAACACGGGAGCGAGAGGAGGACCGTGTCTTGTTTGCTGCACATGCAACATGCAGCTCAGGCCTGGTGCTCAGTCGCCCTTTGCAACATCCCCTGAACGTCCGGACAAGTCTGGGCTTCACAGCAGCCGCGTGGTTCTGCCCCAGAATCGCTTCCCTGCCTTGTTCCCCTCTTCCCACCCTACTCATGACCTTTCACCATGAGTATTTCAAGAACATCCCCATGCTCTGATTTTTGTCTCTCCTCCTTCCAGACACATTTCCGAGACCCGGCTCCAGTCACCCCCCTTATGCTCCAGGCTTCGCAGTGTTCCCTGGAGCACCCCAAAAGGATCCCAAGCGGACATGCCTTTTAGAGCTCTCTAGGGTCTTGCCTCAGTTTGACCTCCTGTCCTCCACTCACATCTATTCCCCCCTGGGCCAAACTGACCATCCCTACTTTCTCACTCACACACACTTTTGCTCCCAGGATTCCTTCTGCCCCTGTTCGCCAGAGGAAAAGGTTCCCCAAATGGTCCCTTTCCAACAATCATTACAATTATAGTGAAGGGGTGTTAGACACAGTGCCGGGAGAAACCTGGTTGGAATCGCAGTCCTGTGAGATGCACGCTGTGAAGGTGCTCAGCCCTGACGGGAGCCTTTCTCGTGCACGCTGTCTTCTGCCAAGCAGAGATTCCGCCCCCCGCCCCCCTGCAGCTAGACCCCCCCAACCCAGGGTGGCTTCTGGTGCTGAACCTGACTCCCTCCTCCACTTACCACACAGCCGCGCACCCTGCAATCTTCCTTCAAGCTCCAACTCAGATCCCTCCTCCCCGTGAGGCCTTTTCCTCCTCCAAACCCTCTAAGACCCCCAAGCCTTGAGCCGTATTTCCTACATCACTGTTTGCACCATGCCGTACTTCCACTGGTGAGCTCCAGCTAGCGGTTTGGAGTCCCCCCAAAGGCTCTGACATACTCAGATGACTGAAGGAAGGCATGCAGGAGGGAAGAAAAGAAGGAAATTCAGTGACGGCAGTGCCAGGGGTCAGGGCCTCCCCCGCAGGACAGAGGGGCCTCGTCATTCTCCACGGGAGCGTGTGTCAGAGCAGGGGAAGGGAGGCTGCTGATGCTTGGCCCATGTGGGCAGAGGAAGTGGGGCGAGAGCCTGAGGGCCACTGGTGACTTGGCTTCCAAGGTGTTCAGGGTAGTTCTGCAAACATCCCCCAAAGTGTTGGTTTCAGTCCCGTGTTTGGAGGCTGTAAGGACTCGCCCGGGGCAGTTCACTTCTCCTACCGAAAGCACCCCTGCAGCAGCCCTGCAGCTGCTGTGACATGTTCTCTGAAAGAGGCTCAAACGTGCCTCTTCACACCTCCACACTCTCATTCTCTTTCTGCCTCTCTCTTGCACATGTGCGTGCACACACGTTCTTTTAAAAATCTGGTCTCAGAAGAGTAGAAGACTGTGGGAGGAGAGCTCCTCAAGGGGAATAATTTAAGAACCAATCAACCATTGTAAGTGAGTCCCGAGGGTGGACTGATGCACACTTTCCCTTTCCCAAGAAGACAAAATAGAATATTCTGGGTAAACATGTTCTGGAAGTTTCCAAGTTCAGGGTACCCCGTCCACTATTACACTTCATGGAAACCATTGCCCCCTCCCTGCAGCAGAGTGGCTCACTGAAACAAGGATATGAGCTTTGACTGGAGCTCCGGTCCACCAAAACGCCTACCCAAGGCCTGGCACTGAGTGTGGCCTGTGGGGCCCAAGGTTACTGACTCTGGCCTTGAGGAACGTATAGTCTAGTGGACCAACTGGACATAGACAGTAGCAATGAGGCGGCCTCAGAGACTCATACTGGACACAAGTAAGAACCTTTTGATAGCAAGGATGATTAAACAGAGGAATGGGTCACCAAGGAAGAAAACTCCCATTTCAGGAGGACTGCAGGGGTGGAGGGTGCATCGAATGCATTATAAGCCTTATGGGGACCCCTTGGGAGCTGTGACCCACTTAATTTGGGCACATCTAAACTCACTTTATTCCCTTCTCACCTGCCAACCATAGTTCCCCAAGGCATGATTGCAGGCAGCTCAAAGAGAGAACAAACTGAGCCTCATACAACCAGCATTAAAAATTGCTGTGTTCTCCTAAGTTCACAAAGTTTTGTCACACATCCTCACCTGAGAGGCCCAGGGAGATATCAGGACTTGCCTCCATCTCACAGGTCTAAGGTGCACGTGCGCATGTGTGTGTGTGTGTCTGTATGCATATGTGCACATAGGTGTGTTTGTATGGTACAATGTGATATGTGTACCGCACTATGGCCAGGCATGTGGACCAGAACCTCTCTCAAGCAGGCTGATGGTAAGACCCGATCTATACACACGTGTCTACTGCTTCAACAGACGGAAGGGCACCTTTACTGGGTGGCTTCCAGCAGCAGAGGCCGAAGTTCCTGAAACCAGCCAGAGACTCCTCAGGGTGCCTACAAACTGGCTCATTACCTTCAGGTACTTAGATCCATAGGCTCCTGCCTTTGAAGCTTCCTCCTCCTCATTCCCCTCTGGGCCAGAGTCCCTGTCAACTAACTGCTCACGGGCCCCCAGGCCAGTCGGCTCCCAGGCCTGGCTTTCCCATTCCACCCACCGCTCTCCACCCACACAGCTGAGGTCACCCTGGCCCAGCCTCTTCTGCAACTTTCCCAAGTCCGTGCATGAAAAGCAGTGGAGAAAAACTCAGAAGGAAGTGGCCTGGTGTCAGCAAACTTATTTTTGCTCCCAAAGCCTGGTTCCTCTAACCTGGCTGAGACTATTGCTCTAAGAGGAGACCCCCAAACTCAGAGAGAGCTCCTGCCACCCCCGGAGGCCGGAGGCTGAGCAGCCACAGCTGTAAGTGCCCTGGAGGTTTTTTCTCGGTTCTTCTGTGTCTCCCAACCAGCTCCAGAGCTATTTGGGTTTTGTCAGGGGAGGAAGGGAGGCTGGGGGTGAAAGCATGCCGCTTAGACTCTGGCAGCTGCAGGGCTTAGATTCCCCCAAAGACCCCCACGCAGGAGAAAGTCCCAGGGTGTGGCACCCAGCCAGGCAGAAAGGACTTCCCTGCCCAGCGCAGCCTGCTACGGCCCGGCTGGGGATCCGCGGGAGCTGTCAGTCTGGGCGGGTCACCGCGGCTGCAGCTCACTCAGAGGGGGGCAGGCCAGAAACCGGAGTCCGGCCAGCACCCAGGGTCCCCTTGTCACATCCACAGGGTACCTTCTGAGATGGAACTGTGTCAGCCAGAGGTCCCACTGGGGAAGGTGGAAACAGGAGTAGGAAAGGGTCCCTCTTGTTCTAAATCATAAATATGCCCCCTAGCCCAGCTCTACAATGCTAGGTCGGCCAACAAGCAGAGTCAGACAGACCTGGGTTCTTGTTTCAGCTTGCCCCCAACGAGTTGTTCTCAGGAATCCAATGGGGAGTTTTGTAAATTGCCAAGTGCCCTATAATTGCTAGATATCATATATAATAAAAATAATTTCCCTTTGGGCTTACAGATCAATCCCCCACTGCACAAGTCCCATGGAGATAGTTATTTGTCTCTATCCTCAGACGTACGTACATGGAGCTGGCACATACTGGGCACGTAGTACATGTGCTGGATGAATGGACAGAGGGATGGATTGGTTGATCGTTCGATGGACTGATGGATGGGCAGATAGCTGGGTGGACGGATGGGGATGGTGGATGACTTATTTGTGGATACGACTATTTATTTATGGGCTATCCCAGCAGGTGGGAGAGAGAGCTGTGAGGCTCTGTCCTGCTCTGTGGGCACTGACGTCTCCTTGGGGAGACAGGACTAACACTCCCAAAGAATAAAGTGCAAGAGCGCTGATCCCCTTGAAACCAGGGCTGTGGGTGCGCTTCCTGGAGGCAGCAAGTGCAGACCTGCTAGGTTTGTGTGGGTGTGGCAGAGATGCGAGCCCTCACAGGAGGCGATAAAGCCGTGTGCTCCCTAGACAGACTCTTTCGAAAGACTAACTTCACTCTCAAGACTGTAAGTCCCATCATTTTTTAGGGTGGATGCATTTGTCATTCCCTAGGGCCTGGGAGCATGGAGGGGGCTCAGAGAGTGGGTGAGTAAGTGGGGGTCGGCCCGGGGGCTTCGCCTGCCCCAGAACTCTCATCTGCCCTTGCTCACTAGTTTCCCTCATCCTTCCTCCTTGTCTGCAGAAATGACTCCCCGCACACAGAGGAGGCAGGAAGCTATGCCCAGGTCCCAGTGGGGCCAGCGGGGCAGAGAGAGAAGGGAAATGGGTAGGGAGAGACGAGCGGGTTCAAGAGTCCTGGTAAGACTGGCCCCCAGCCCTAGCTAGGGCTCTCCGTTTTCTTTTCTCCCTTCCTTTCTTCCACCCTCTCTCTGCCTCTCTCTCTTTCTTTCTTTTCTTTATATTTTGTAAAGGAGCATTAACGCCCTCTTTGTTATTCCCCAGGGACTGAGCTGCCCTGCAGCGCTGGCAGATGGGCAGGGCCAGGGCTCCGGGCTTAGAAGGGCTGCCTGGCCGGAGGGAGAGCAGAGTTAGTCACACGCAGTGGAGAGCGATTCGCTTGCGGATTCTGCTCTTGTGGACCTGGGCTGGCTGAAGGCAGGGCCCTGCTGTCCAAGCCTGCTTTGTCACTGTTATTTAACAGTTGAGGGCAATGACTCATCCTGGCTTCTAGGAGGATGCCTGGTTTGAAGATTCTGAGTCAGCTGAATGGATGGGAGGAGGCTTCATAGGACAGCTACTACCTAAGTCCAGCCAGGGGCAGGGCCCAGAGGATGTGGGGAGGGACTTCAGCCACTGTCTGAAGTCTGCTTATGTATGCCTTCTTGGTAACCCAGCCGGCGTCTGTCCCCAGTCCACCCTCCCGTGGTGGTCCTGACGCCATCCTGGTCACCCTATTGTTGCTGCTAGTTATCATGGGCCCACGGGCCAAGCTATTTTAAGGAGCAGCCTCAGCAAATTCCTGTCCTTCTGGGAGTGTTGCAGGGGGATCTGCGGCGGCGGCATACTTTAGGGGCATATCCAGCAGAAGGGGGCCAGCGAGTGGCGGGGCGCGGGAGTTCAGTCAAGGCTGAGGTGAGTTAGAAGGCTCTACAGGAGAAAAAAGAAGTAAAACTCAGAGAAGACTTTAAGCCTCAAGAGGGCTGGCCTGTGGCAGACACACTGAGCATTTTCTGTGTAGCCCCTGGGAGAAATCCACCCCTAGTGGAGAAGAAGCTCTCTGGGGCAGGTCTGGCGCCATCTTTCCACGAATGCAGTAGAGATGGCTCAAGCCCTGGGTGGGAGCTCAGGCCAGACCACCTTTGAGACTCTTCCCATAGTGCGCTGGGGCGCGCTGCACACTGGAGGCCAGAAATCAGCCATGGTGGGAGGGTTTATACCATAGAAAGCAGCAGGAGCTATGAGCCAGGTCTCTGCTCCCTGCCCCCCACCAAGCTGTTAGCTGTTTATCTGGTCATGCCCAATTTGGGGAGCCTGTTGTGCTATAAGAACGTGACACATGCCACCCTGCAGAATGAGTCACGTCCATCCCACGAGGGAACAGACTCACTAAGATTAAGGAGCTCACCCAAAGTCACAAATATATGGAGGTGGGATGAGAAGTCTGACTCCAAAGCTCATGATCACTCTGTGGTACCAGGCAGCCCCCCTCTCCTGCCCCACAAAAGTGGTCCATCCTGTCAGCAAGTCCCTCAGCTGACACTGGGCTACCATCCATCCATGTGCTCTTTTTATATGACAAGTCTTTATGTGGCATTTTTAAATTTAATTCACAACTCAGCCTTGTGTACCAAATATTAACACAAGATGTATACAAAATAAAATAGCCCCTAGCCTCTAATCTACCTTTCCCCACCCCCTATTAATCATTTAGTGTGTATTTATCCATAGCTTGCTGTGTATTACAGAAAAAGCACAAATATAATATTAAATATATAGTCACAGACATAAGGTTGTCTGTTTTTATATAATTGGGATGATACTATACAAAATGTTCAGTGATGGTCTTTTTTACATAAACTATCATGTCTTTCCACTTCATTACTTCACTCTTTTTTAAAGTGCCTAGGATTCGGAGTATAAATGGATCATGGTGTACACAGAGAGTCTCTTACTGATGGATATTTGGGTTACAGTAACTCTCTTCAGCAATCATCTTTGTCCAAATGCATGTTTGAGCGTTTGTACATTTCTGTAGGATAGATTCCTAGAATTAGAATCTAGGATATGTGCATATTCTACTTTGATATTTTCAAATTGCCCTCCCAAAAAAGACTGCCAATTTGTTGTCTGTCAACAGTATTCAAAACTGGTTCCCCTACACATTGGCCACCACTGAAAATTATCATCAATCTTTTGAATTGTTGCCACTCCGGTGGATTTCAAAAAACGGTCTTTAAAAATTTTGCACATCTGTAAGAATTAGTGCAGTTCAATATCTTTTCCAACTTACTGCTTATCATTTATAAGACTTCTATCGGTTACTTATTCACATCCTTTGCCCATTGCTACGTTGTGTATTGTCTTTGGTTATCTGTAGAAAGCTTTATGCGTAGTGGCTATTGACCCTCTGTTAAACGCATGCCCTCCCTACCTCCCCGCCACGGCCCCCAACTTTCTGTGCATAGCATACCAGCTCTGTGGCACCATGTCAAGCCCACACCGTGCAGCCCCCAGGCCTCTCTGACAGGGCACCAAGCAGCAGGGTGTGTGAGGCTGATTCTAGTTTTGCATAAGGCAGTAGAACCTAGCAGTTAACAGGGTCGTCTCTGGTGTTAGGCCTGGATTCAAATCCCAGCTCCAAATCCGGCCTCTACCACACATAGGCTTTTTAGAGATGGACTTTGTAACTTTCTCAACACCTGTCTCTTCTGTGGTAAAAAGGAGACAATGATGTCAACCCCACAGCTATTTTTGTGTGCTAACAATAGTCGTAAAATATCTAAGATCTCTCGAACCCATCATGTATGCCAGTTAAAAGTATTATAAAAATGTATTAAATTAGTACAATAATGGATTCACCCATTTAGCCTCACACCTATAGGCATATTGCTTATTTGCATATTTGAAGTCCTCTACAAGGCGCCAGGCAGATAGATGTTAGCTTGCTGGGTTCAGCGCCTCACAAACAGCTCCTGTTCAGCAGCCCCGGCTCCCTCCGCTCCCACTGTACCTCCTTTCTCTGGGCCTACTAGGGTCTTGCTGGGGTTCACCCACCCCGAGCCCTGTGCACACAGATCCAGGAAGCTCAAACTCCAGAGTTCGGGCATCAACTTGGTGCAGAGAGGCCATCTCTGGCCTTCAGTTCTGGCTTCATCAGGAAAGAGCTCACCGTTGCCCCCACTCTCCCTGCACAGGGGCACCGGATGCTCAGAGACCCGAGCCGTTCAGGACCTTCTGAGCTGCTTCCTCCCTGGCTGGTTCCTTACGGGCAGCGACACCCACTGCAAAACGTCAGCCCTAGTCAATGACTTGAGTTCTCTTCCTCTGCATATCTGGAGCCCAGGAAATGTTTGGGGGCTGGATGGGTGGGGATGACAGGGCCCTTGGTCTGATACCCGTGGCCTTGACCTTCCTCTAGGCTTTCCTGTCTCCACTCTCGTCACCTCGCCTTCCCTGAAGCAAACCACCCACTCACCTGTTCCCAGGGCTTTGACTGCTTCCTTTCCTCCCTCTGAAATGTCACCCCCAAACCACCACATGCCTCATTTCTTCAGGACCCAGTTCAGTGCTGGCTGCCCCCTCCTGCAAGTCCCCCCACCCCCACCCCGAATTCCCACAGCACTTTCTCGGCCAGGGCACTCACACTTCCTTGGGTGTGATCACTCAGCCCTGTCCTTTCTCCTCCTCCGACAGCCTAGGATGGGTCCCTATTTGCTTCTTTGTGCTCCTCCTAGTGTCTAGTGCAGGGCTTTGCATGCAGTAGGCATGGAGGCATTTGTTGCATGAACACACAGACCATCAAGGGCTGTTGCCCACCCTGCCACCAGCCCTCCTGAGTTATAGCAGAAGGTCCAGCGCCACTAACCCTGACTCCTGGGACAAGCAGCTCTGAGCACAGTGTCAAATCACCTTTGGGCCGTAACCTGCCTCATGGCGGGGTGGCGGGGAGGCGGGCACTGACAATCCTAGGCCTCTGGGGTTTCTGTTTTAACTCTGCACTCACTAGGCACCCCCAGGCAAGGCTCTTGCAGTGAGTTACAGCTCCAGTAAATAAGGCGTTTTCAACCAGAAGGGACCTTGATTCATTGGGGCGCAACAGGCTCCTTCTCTAGTTGGAAAGGCAAGACTCAGAGAGGGGAAGTAACTGGCCCAAGGTCACACAGTAGCAGAGTGAGAGCTAGAACCAAGGCCTTAGGACATCCAATTTGGATCTTTTTCCAAGTACTGGGGGAAAACTCAAGCTGGCCGACTTTTGACACCATAGCCAGGCAGAGTCAGATCAAGGTTTACTCACTCTGTTTGTGTTGGGGACCGTCCTCAAGAAGACATGACCACCAGCCGACCCATGAGCTGGACCCCAGCAATCGGAGGCTCCTCATTCCCTCCCCTGCCCTTGGAATGTGGGTTCTGCCTGCCTTCCCCTCTCCCAGAGGCTGCCCTTCGATAGCAGTCTGGTGTGGAGGCCATCGGGACAGTATATGTGATGGAACACAGCTAAGGCTCCTGTAAATCTGTTCAGATTTGGCAGGCTGGTGTGGGGAGGTCCTCAACTCATGTCCACCCAAGACAAGCCTCATAAGTTCCCTGGCCTAAAAAACCAGCCACCTGCCTCTTTTTTCGGTCTCCGAGTATGAGGGCCAGTTTCAGATCACACCTGGGGAGCTCCTGAGGACTTTACAGACCAGCAGCCTAGTGTATCCAGGGAGAGAAAACCCCATAGCTGGGAACAGAGTGTACGCATGTGTGCGTGTCAGGGCGGGACTCAACAGCCAGCTGGGCATAATCCCCTGTGACCGTTTCTCTTCATTTTGTTAAAAAAATTAATTAAATAAACAAACATAATTTACATATATATATACGTATAAAACACACACATCTATGTATTTTTCTCTGATAGGAACTTTACCTGTGTGACGTGTTTATGGAAAAAAAATTAGAACATACGAAGAACAAAGATTAAAATGATGTGATCTCCTACCCCAGAATTAACTACTTTAGCTTTTTGTATGTTTATTTCTAGAACTTTTTTTATGCAAGTAGGAACTCATTTTAATATTTCTTTTTTTTCATTCAGCTCCTACGGCATAAGCATTTTCCCACATTATTAAGTTATGTTCAGAAACTCCATTTTAATGACTGCTTAACAGATCTTTGTGTGCCATGATTTATTTAACCACTTCTTTATTGTTGGGTGTTTATAAATCATACTGTGGAGAATATTCTCAAACAGAGTTTTTGCCCACATTTCGGATTATTTCCTTAGGACAGATTCCTAGAAGTGGGGGGCAGGAACATTTTTAAGGCTCTCCAGGCTTGTTGCCAAGTAGCTTTCCAGAAACACAGACCCGTTTCGCCCGCACCAGCTGCCCTAGAGAAGAGCCTTTTGATTCTGCGCCTGCAGCCACACCTCGCCCGCGGGAGGGGCGCTCCCCCACCCAAAGGCTCCTCGCAGTCCTGACAATGGACGCCTTGTCCCCTTCTCCGCCTGCCCCCATCTCCTCTTCCAGCACTGCCCTCCATCCCTGGCTACGGGCTGGACTGGCTGCGGGCCTCTGCTCAATCCCGTCCAGCCTTCCTGGCGCTCCAGGCAGCCTCCCAAAGCAGGATTGGTAGAGCTGAAGGGTGAGAAATGTGCCTGTCCTGTGTGCATGGCAGCCGCCCTTCCAGCCCCGGAAAGGCCCCCAGCGAGAGTGGGGGGAAGGTGGGGAAGGGTTTCTGAGTCATCCACCTCTTTTTGGAGAACAACTCCACCTCAGTCCTAGGCACGGGGCAGTGATCTGCACATCAAGGGGGAAGGAGAGGCCGGCCTCAGGTGTGGTGGTGGCCACAGGGAACTCCAGTGAGCATGTGGGTGCCTTGTGTTTCCCTACAGGTTCTGAGGCCCATCCATGAATCCCCAGAAGAAGGTGGACCTGAAACTCATCATCATTGGAGCCCTAGGGTAAGCCAAGTTCTCCCAGGGGCCTGGGGTTTGGGAAGCAGCCGCGGTGAGACCTCCTGGATGTGTTCCCACCTCCCACGGCTCCCTTTCTGATTCAGAGTAGCACCAGCGAAGGCCCTCCACCCCAAGGAAGGCAGCTCAGACGGGATAAAGAGGCTGGGGCTCAGGCTACCTGGTTTCTGGTCCGAGCTCTGCGGTAACTCCACAGGAACCAGCCGTGTGAATTAGACAAGCCACTTAGCATCTTTCTGCCCTCCCACCTCCTGCCACGTACAGGAGAGACCTGCCTGTTGCTTTCTGGGCACCCAGCATTCTGCCAACGTCTCTGCTCACTTGAACTGGCCCCTATTTCTAGAATCCATCCCCTAGTCCCCTGCGACTTGAAGTGTTGTCCTTGGACTCCAAATGTTAGAATTTCAGATTCTCAGGAAGAGACCGTGGGTGAGGGGGGCAAGATTCTGAGTATGGATAGATGGATGTGTGTGTGTGCTTGTACACGTGTGTTCACTGCATCTGGGTTTTCCCTGTCAGTGTAGGGAAGACCTCCCTTCTCCACCAATATGTGCACAAGACATTTTACGAGGACTACCAGACCACACTGGGGGCCAGCATCCTCTCAAAGATTATTATACTGGATGACACAACTTTGAAGCTGCAGGTGAGCAGGCCTCCCTCTCCCTCTTCAATGTGTATACCTGAAAATCATCCCACAGCCACTTACACAGCAGTGCGCCCCAGGAGGCACTCTGCCCTCGAGCAGAGATCTGTAAGTTCTAACTCACGGACCAAATCTGGCCCACCATCTGTTTTTGTAACTAATGTTTTATTGGACAACAGCCATGCCCACTTGTTTAGTTACAGTCTGTGGCTACTTTAGTACTATAACAACAGAGCTGAGTAGTTGCAGCAGACAATATGGTCTGTACAGCTTAAAACATTTACTATGTATCCTTTTATAAAAAAAATGTTTGCTGATCCCTGATCTAGAAAATAGAGCATTAATTCCAGGAGTTGGGAGGCCCTACTCCTAGGCTCAGGTTCCCTAGAAAATTTGGAGAGTGACCTTGGGCAAGTCACTCCCAAGGTCCAAACCTATCATATGGGAATAATGAGGCCTGTCCTGATGACCCAGGGGGAAAATGGGAGCTCAGATGTGAAAGTACCCTTGGGACACTAACTGTTAGTAAAAAGATACTTGTAGTATACGTGGTGACAGGGTGTGAAAAGGACCTCATGTACCTGTGCCAGGGCCGTCTGCTTCCTGCCCAGGAAATGAAGCTTTGACATGATGTGACCCACTGGGCCTACCATCAACCACTCATCACAGCCCCATGGGGTGGCTGCTCTTCCCCTCCAGATCTGGGACACAGGTGGACAGGAGCGATTCCGCTCCATGGTGTCCACATTCTACAAAGGCTCTGATGGCTGCATCCTGGCTTTTGATGTCACCGACCTGGAGTCCTTTGAAGCCCTGGATACCTGGCGGGGCGATGTTCTGGCCAAAACCATCCCCATGGAGCAGTCCTACCCCATGGTGGTGCTGGGGAACAAGACCGATCTGGCAGACCGGCAGGTACCATTCAATCATTCAAGCACCAAGTATATGCCAGGAACTGTGAGGTCTCACACAAAAAAGAGCTGAATCAGGCACAGTCCTTACCTTAAGAACTTCCTACTCTAGAAGTACATAGTGGTGCTTTTTAAAGTCAATTACAATACAATATGGTAAACGCAATGGTAGAGAAACACCTTGGGTATTTGGGAGCCATGGCGAAAGGGCATCTACTCGAGCCCAGAACATAGAGAGTGTTTCCAGGTTGGCTCCAGCCTGAAGGAACAGCATGAGCAAGGAGCAGAATGCTGTGAGCTGAGAACCAAAGGCAATTTTGTCTGGAGACGGGGAGTAGAATTAAGGGATCAGAGGTAGGCAGGTGGTATTTGAATTTACCTGTAGAACAGTATTGCTACCCAGAGTCAGGTAGGGAAACTGCAGTGATAAATTCTCGAATCTACTATTTTTCTAGAAAAGTAGTAATATGTTTTTTAGTAGCTTAAGTGCATTCTGGGTCATCTGGCTACTTGACAGGTAGCCTGCTCCATGGCTAGAGTGACCCACTCGTGTAGGTGTTAATCACGCAGTTCACTGACCAGGGTTCTTTCCGTCACTGCCTGCTAATGAGAAAAGAACAGAGGGACACATAATTTGTGGAAGATGCTTTTGTACCAAACGAAGCCCCAGTGACACCAAAAGGAACCACTGTAACAAGACTGGCTTAGTGTTTCAAATGGGGGGTGGTGGGAATGGAGAACTGAGCATCATATTTGAACTATGTTTTCACAATGGTTCAAACAGAGAAACGTTGTGGGAGAGTTGAGGCATCATTTGGAAAGAGGATAGATGGAGGGATGGAGGGATGGAGAGATGGATGGTGTTGCTTCCAACTAAGCTATCCCTCACATAAAAAAGAGCCTCCTGTTCAGAGAGATGAGCGTGGTTTGGACATGCTGAGTTTGAGGAAGTTGTAGAACAGTTAGTCAGATATGACCAGTGGGCTGTAGAATAAAAAGAATGAAACTTCAAAGGTAAAGTCTGTGCTGGAAATAGAAACCCAGAAGTCATCAATTCTATGGTCACTTCCGGTTGTACATTCAGTGTCAGTTCTCTAATTACAAATACCCAATCTCAGATAGTAACCTTCCTCAGTTCATTCAAAGGCGAGGTGTCTGCCTCTCTCTCCCCCGCAGGGCCAGGTGCTGCCGAGAACACTGTGGTCCAGGAGGGGAGTGTGGTCCTTTGCATCTCATTGCCAACTTTATGTGTCCATACTTCTCCTCCTTCTCTGGGAAATTCTGGTCTCAGCCCCTATAGGGAATGAAGTGTGAAGAAGGAGAAGAGGCCAAGAGAGCAGGACAATCCATATTTGACAGGCTCTGTCTTAAGGTGGTTTATGTTCTCTGGGCCCATCAGATATTTCAAGTTATCTCTTCTGTGGGTTACTCCTCTGGGTCCCTAAGAAGCCTCCACTGGGGGAGCATTTACTTGTACCTCCCAGACAAGGGTCCCCAGTTATAAATTCTTGAATCTACAAATCTTCTGGGAAAAATAGTACTGTATTTTTTCATTAGCTTACACATGTTCTGGGTCCTCTGACTGACTACGTCCTCCGCCTCAACTCTTCCCTTCCTCAACGCCTGATTTTTCAGCCATCCTCCACCCTGTTGGGGTCAACCTCCTCCTGCAGGCAGTTCTCCTGACGGGATTTATAAAGCTCTCTGTGTGGCCCACGTCTCTGTCACAAGTCACAGCCATGCCCTCTGGTTCACCAGAGGGGTGAGGGTAATTAGTGCTCAGGGGAGGTGTCCTCTCTCTGCCCGGTGCCTCTTGCCTTAGGTCCCACTCAGGGGCATGTCAGACACCAGTCCACTGTCCCCCAAACTCCAGGGGTCCTATGTTAAGCTTTCCAAGTGGCCCCCCTGAAGCCTCCCATTGGTTAGAGGTAAGGCCATACCTGTTCTCCCTCTTGTGTGAGGTGTACCCACGACACAATTCTCAGCAAAGAAATCCTTTCTGATCCTCCTTTCAATCCATTTATATCCATGCTGTGGGTTTGGGAGCTGGGTACAGATTCTTAGCCATGACCCTTTGGAAACGGGCAAGGTCCCAGGAGTGGTCTGTTTCCCACCCCACTTTATATCTGTCATCTATCAAATTGCAGTGCCTCTCTGGAAACTTCCATTGTGGCATCCCACTTTGTATGTTTGGGAGCCATAGGGTGGGAAGTTAAGAGTTTAAGACAGAGGGTTGACTTTTCTCAGTGAAATGAGGCACCGTCTTCTGCTGGGGGATGGGGAAGCAGGCAGGATCCCAAGAACCATGATAAAGCTTTGCCAGTCACTGTGGAGGGAAATCAAGGACCAAGCCAAGCACTGGAGGGTGACACTAGGGGCCCAGCTAGAGGAGGAGACCAGGAGCATGCGGTGGGTTCTGTGTGGTTTTCCCAGCAGCCCTGTGTGGGGTAAGAGCCAGGGATGAGGGACCAGGAAGAAGGTTTTCCCAGACATGAGTAGCCGAAGAACAGAGGTGTGAGGACACTTAGAAACCACGAAGGAAAGAAGGGCAACAAGGAGAGGGGTGAAGGGCCAGCAGGCTGGGGTGTCAGAGGCTGAAGAGCTGGGCAGAATGAGGGGGGGCATGAGGTGAAGGAGGCTGTCCCAGAATGGGCGACCGGATGGGATATTGTGCAAGGTCCTAGGTCTGGCCCTTGGGGAGCAGATGCTGAAGCAGAGAGAAGGGGTGAATTCTGCCAGTGGGGAAGGAATTGTGACGCTCCGTGAGAGGTGGAGGCTGCGTGGTGAGGGGGAGCAGAAGTCCCACCCCACTGAAAGCATCCCATGAGTGAGGCAGGGTGGGAGTTCAGGTGATCACTGAAGGCGGGGAGGCGTCCACTCCCAGCCGCAGGTATGAGTTCTGTTCTACAGACAGGAGGATAAAGGCTGGGGCAAGCCCAGCCCCCTCTGGGGTGTGTAGTGAGCACGGTGTGGAAAGAGCCCCCTGGAGAGGGCAACATGGGACAGTGACTTCAAGAAGAGCCAGGGTTAGCAGGGCGAGGGGGGATGCTGGGGGAGGGAAGTGGGCTGGAATGCAGTGCCTCTCTGGAAACTTCCATTGTGGCATCCCACTTTGTATGTTTGGGAGCCATAGGGTGGGAAGTTAAGAGTTTAAGACAGAGGGTTGACTTTTCTCAGTGAAATGAGGCACCGTCTTCTGCTGGGGGATGGGGAAGCAGGCAGGATCCCAAGAACCATGATAAAGCTTTGCCAGTCACTGTGGAGGGAAATCAAGGACCAAGCCAAGCACTGGAGGGTGACACTAGGGGCCCAGCTAGAGGAGGAGACCAGGAGCATGCGGTGGGTTCTGTGTGGTTTTCCCAGCAGCCCTGTGTGGGGTAAGAGCCAGGGATGAGGGACCAGGAAGAAGGTTTTCCCAGACATGAGTAGCCGAAGAACAGAGGTGTGAGGACACTTAGAAACCACGAAGGAAAGAAGGGCAACAAGGAGAGGGGTGAAGGGCCAGCAGGCTGGGGTGTCAGAGGCTGAAGAGCTGGGCAGAATGAGGGGGGGCATGAGGTGAAGGAGGCTGTCCCAGAATGGGCGACCGGATGGGATATTGTGCAAGGTCCTAGGTCTGGCCCTTGGGGAGCAGATGCTGAAGCAGAGAGAAGGGGTGAATTCTGCCAGTGGGGAAGGAATTGTGACGCTCCATGAGAGGTGGAGGCTGCGTGGTGAGGAGGAGCAGAAGTCCCACCCCACTGAAAGCATCCCATGAGTGAGGCAGGGTGGGAGTTCAGGTGATCACTGAAGGCGGGGAGGCGTCCACTCCCAGCCGCAGGTACGAGTTCTGTTCTACAGACAGGAGGATAAAGGCTGGGGCAAGCCCAGCCCCCTCTGGGGTGTGTAGTGAGCACGGTGTGGAAAGAGCCCCCTGGAGAGGGCAACATGGGACAGTGACTTCAAGAAGAGCCAGGGTTAGCAGGGCGAGGGGGGATGCTGGGGGAGGGAAGTGGGCTGGAAAGTGGGGCGAACAAAAGCCACCTCATAGGTGCCTGTTAGGAAGCAACATGCGTAAAGTTAAGGCCACATGGAAGGTTCTCAACAAGCAGAAGGGGTGGTGGGGACGGTGGGGATGATGATACAGGAATGGTGATCATTTCTTCCCCTCATCCAGGTGTCCAGCGAGGTAGCCCAAGGCTGGTGTAAAGAGAAGGCTATTCCCTACTTTGAGGTCAGTGCCAAGAATGACATCAATGTGGTACAAGCCTTCGAGGTGCTGGCCAGCCGGGCTCTGTCACGGGTGAGTCAGCCCCAGCCAGGGCAGCCCCTGCAGACGGGGAGCCCAGGAGCTTCCAGAGCACAGGTGGCGATGTGAGTGGGACAGGGCTGCTCATTGTCTTATTTAGTCATTGAATGGGCCGAACAGTACTCTAGGTCTGGAACCACAGATTGCCACGGGTGCAAAGCTACCTTAGGGTATACAGTCGGTGGTCCCTCAATCTGGCTGATTATAAGATACACAATTCTGTGCTTCATCCCTGGAGATTCTAATTTAGTAAGAGTTTGAGAAGTGATGATCTAGTTCTTTCCTCACTGGTGGGCGAGAAGCCCTGTGGTGGCCAAGCATCTGTCCAAGTGGGATATCGGCCCTGCAGGGGCTGCTGACATCCGCCAATCAAAAAGATGGATAGATGTGGGCCCCTTAGGTTGGTCACTCCACAAGGACGTGTTGGGCATGCCCTGTGGGCCGGGCTCTGGGCAGGGCTCTGGGGCCCCTCGCTCCCGTGAGGGAGGCAGTGCTTGTAGGCATGTGCACGGTTGCAGTACAGGCATTGTACGGTGGGGAAGGACCTAGTGATGGGACCCCAGAGGAGGGGACACAGCCCACACTAGGGAGGAAAGGAGGGAGGAGAGAGGAGAGGAACACCAGCGGAGGCTGCTGGCAGAAGGGCAGGGTTTTAATGCCATTCTGATGTGGAGTTTGGAAGCTCAGAAGAGAGTCCTTGAGAAATCAATGCAGGAAGGGTTCGGCTTGGTGCGTCATTCTGCCGCATTGAAATGGGGGTAGGCTTCTCAGGAAAGCGGAGGGGCCTTTGTGGAAACGATTTTGAATCGCGGAGATGAGCAGAGGAGGAGGGGAGGTCAGAGGCTTTCCCTCTGTGGCAGTCCCTGCCATCATCCAGGTGACCAGCCTGCCTGGCCCGCGCTGCCCTGCAGAGAAGTGCTTCAGGGCCCGGCCTGGGCACTGCCCTCCTCTAGCAGCTGCCCAGTGAGAAGGCTCAGGCCTGCCAGCCTCACACTTCTGGGCGTCAGTCCCAGGCTTTGCCCCTGCGGACTCTTCTTCTGCTTCCCCCTCCCTGCCCACACGGGAAAGGGAAGCGCACGGTCTAGAATGGTGGCTTTATTACCTAGTCCATCACATTGGCTTCCAAAACACAGACGCTCCGTCTTATGCCTTTGCAACAGAAAGCTGAAGGATGTCGTTTGACCTTGTGTGATGACATGTGACAAATGAGTCTCCACAGACACAGTGCAACGACCGCCAAATGCGTAGCCACCGCGCTATCCCAGGTGCCCACAGCCAGGGTCATGTGCAGTTAGCACCTGTCCTTTTCTGGAGGAAGAGGGTCCTTTATTCTTAAAGTATGCCCTTCCTGCTATGTCACTTTTATGACATGGTAGTGTTAGTAGGTGGCAACTTATCTGCCTGTTATTTTGTTTGTTTTAACATCCTACTCCGCAGAAGAAGGGATTGGCAGCCTTACATTGGTCCCTCATGTGGACGGGGAAATTTACTGGGGATGAGTCTGGGATGCACAGCAGGGGTATCCGCAGCCAGACTGACCTGGATTTGGACGCTCTCCTGGTGCTTTCCCATGGGCCCCTGGGAAAGACATGTGACTTCTCTGAGCCTCAGTTTCCCCATTTGTAAAATGGAAGTAATTCAACCCCATAAATATTTCTTGAGCTGTCAGGCTAGGGCTGGAGATTCGGACCTCAGTGGCTCCAGGTCAGGTAGAAGAGTGTAAGACATTCACAAATGGACTGTCACAGGGTGAGGCCACAAAGGGGGGGAGGTCAAGGCTCAGAGGTGACTCAGAGGCAGCCGGTAGAGAGGGTTGACAAGGTGCCCACCAAAGAAGTGGTGTGTGTGCTGACAGATGACTGGCAGCTTGCAGCAGACACAGCAGGCCACTGGGGGTCTGAGCACAAGCAGCAGAAGGGCAGAGAGAAGGGCCCAGCCAGAGGCCCTGGAGTGGGTCCACAGGGCTCATGAAGGAACCAGTCCCACCTGCCAGAGAAAAAGCAACCAGAGGCAGCCACGGTGAGTGGTGAAGCCCACGAGGTCAACAGCCCCAGATCTCGAAGGCTGCTGAGCCCCAGCTAAGACTTGGGGCCTCGTGCTGCAGGTCCATGCTTTCCAGGCTACGCTGCTGGACCCCCAGGGCCTTGTGGGCTCCCCCAGGACCTTGAGGGCCACCAGGGCCAGTCTTTGGACCATGTCTATGTTACTCAGAAATTTGAAAGAGGAATATTTTCACATTAAAACAAACTTAGTTTACTAGGCATAAAATGGAAAATGTGGATTTTTAAGGTGACAATGGAGTTTGCAAATCTGTATTTCAAGGTCCAACAAGTTTTCAAAGACATTTCCTGCAAGGATCTCTCCTCTCCTTCCCAGGAAGGTCGTGCGCTCATTCACAGCAGCGCAGAGGGTTTGGAGAGGAAGGCCTGAGAGGTGCAGCTGTAGTAAGGGGGGAAGCCCCGGCCTGGGATGGGGGGAGCCGGGGCTCTGGAGCCGGACTGATCTGGCTTTCCACCCCGGTTCTCCCTCTATTCTCTGTGTGTCCTTAGGCAAGTCGTGCAGCCTCCCTAAGCTACCCTTTCTTTCTCTTTAAAGTACAACTAATAATATTTTCCTCGTGGGGTTGTTGCAAGGGCGAAATAAAGTAATATTGTAGCAAAGAGAAGGCATTGAATGGAAAGGCAGTGATTTTGAACAGGAGCTATTCAGCAGGGGAGTTTCATGCTTAGAGAGGGTGAGCTCGCTGGACCCGTAAGCAGGGACTGCAACAGTCCAGGCATGAGAGGAGGCAGCTTTCTGTCCAGGAGGGGCTCCAGGGTCCCAGCTGGGTGAGGGATCGGCAGGCCCTGCCTCCTGGATCCGAAGACCCGAGCAGGAAATTCCCCGCTCCCCAAGGTCTCTTTGGCTTTCATGGCAAGAGAAGGACCCAGAAAGTGCCAAAGAAGGAGAACCCTTTCAAAACCTGCCTCGTGGGAGAGATGGTTCAGTCGGTATAAAAGGGACTGAAACGGAGATGCTCTGCTCTTCCTTGCCCCTCCCTGGGAGCTCAGAAATGTCGGATTTTAACTAGGATTAGCTCAGTGGAGTGAGAGGGCCCTGCACCCAGCGGAAGGGGCCGATTGGCGGCCTGGACGATGACCAGGGCCTCGCTGGCCAGAGGCTGCACGCCAGCCTGCTGCGATAAGGAGCCGCTCCCCCATTTGCTCTCCTCAGATGCTTCGGGGTAGGAATCTGGTCTCTCAGAGTGGGAGCCGGGGAGGCCCTGGAGGGCAGTGGGCTGGGCGCCTCCCCAGGAGAGCCAGGAAATGGCTCTGGCGGTGGAGACTCCACCACGGAGCAGACCTTCAACCCGAGAACACAAGATTGCCCCCCAGCCCCCAGGGCTAATCCTTCTTATTAAAAGCATATACATGTATAACAAAATATTAATAACCCAAATACTATGCTGAGGGATCCTCAGGGCACATCATCCAGGCTGGCTAAGCCTAGTTGGTGCTCCACTGGCCCCACGACCCTGCCTGGGAGGGGGCAAGAAGCAGGGGCTCTCCAAGACGCAAACTATGCAGAGAACGACAGGGCTGAGGCCCAGACCATGGGCTCTGTGTGTCGGGCTGATTACCACTCCATTTGCGGGTGGAGGTGACGCACAGCGCTCCAAGGGACCTTCCGTGTGTGTTGGGGGCCACCATCCTCAGGGTGCAGCAGGTGGGGCCTGACACCACCTCTTGGGGCCCGGAGTCACCGGCGTGAAGGGCTTAGTTGACATTCAGCGGCTGGGTGACTGGCCAGAGCTCAGGAACCGTGGAGGAGGAAGTCGGAAGGCACGACCACTGTCCCGGAGTTTGTCCCCTCAGAGGGGCGCCTGAGACAGGCCAGCAGGCACACAGGGGCTGTGCCCTGCTTGGCCCACACCCATGCCTTGTGAGCCACTTACACACAGAGGGCACGCCCACCCGCTCGCTCGCTCATGCAGTACCGGCTGTAGGAGGAACATGAGTGCTGTGAGCTCGGTGGCTGAGTGGCGGAGTAAAGAGACGGGATCCCTTTAAGGGTCTACAGACCCTTCAGCCTACAGAATCCGTCTCCTGGAGGAAGGGGGGACCCCCGACCAACCAGGTGGGGTGAGTCCAAGGCGAGAAGGGGCCAGCTGGGTGGGCAAGGGCTTGTCAGGCTGAGAAGGGGCTTTCTCTGGACCTTCCTGGGACAGGAGAGATTGGGAGGTGGGCACAGAAGCAGAAAGGCCCAGTAGAAGCATTGAGTCTATTTTAGGGAGGGCTCTGGGGACAAGGGAGGGACAGGGGATTGACAGGGCTTCCTCAGGAGCCACGATGTGGGTGGCGCAGTTGGGGGCAGACACAGTGAGAGCAGATGGGGTGTGTGATGTTTGTAGGAAAAGGTCTCCACCACAAATGAGAATTGGGTTGTTGTCAACTCTGCCTGAGGTCAGACGCCACTCAGTCATCATTTCTGGAGCCTGGACAGTTACGGGACCTGGTTGGAAGTCAGGAGACCTGGGCCCCTAATCCAAGGGCCCTGGGCTCCAGAGAAGAAGCTGGAGGAGGAGAGGAGAGGAAGGCCTCCTCCTCTGGGCCTCAATTTCCCAGCACAATGGGGGGAACAAAAAGCCCCACCATCGTTGGCCATCAAAACAAAGGGCCAACAGTGCTCTTCGCCTCTGCGGATGTGAACTCTGACTTCCCTTTTCTTCCCCAGTATCGGAGCGTCTTAGAGAGTTACCTCACTGACTCCATCAAGCTCTCACCGGAAGACCAGCCCCGGGGTAGATGCTGCTGAACCTCCAGACATCTGCTCTGGACACGCAGGGCCAGAGCCCCCACCAGCCCCGGCACCTGCCTAGCTCAGCCCAGGCAGCCTGGGCTCTGTGGTCTCCAGTCTCCACGTGTCTGCACACGAATCAGCACAGCCCTTGTCTTGGGCCAAGCATGGAGGACAGGGCTGGGCCCTTAGGGGTCTGGATGAAACCCAGAATGTCACAGCCAAATCCTGGCCCTGGAGGAGTCACAATCCCCCCACTGGCTCCAGCTTTCCTGCCACCACCCTCTCCAAACACACTCATGCTCCAGAACGCACATCTGTGCAGACAGGCCACTGTCTCCGGAGCCCTGTTACATTCCCCTTCGGACTGGCCTCCCTCACTCATGCCACCGCATCCCGCCAGAGCCACCCCACAGCTCTGGACAAGGGTGCACTTCAGCCTCCCTCTGTAACCAGGGCCAGGCAGCAAGGGTCTGGACCTCTCATGAAGGCCCATATCAGCCCCCAGCAGCAGCTGCTCAGGCCTGAGACACCCCTCTGCCCCTCCGGACTGCAGGACTGAGGGAGCCCAGGAAAAGCCACTAGGACTGGCTCATTCCTCCCTGCTGGGTGTTCAGCCAATTCCTGTTAAGCTCTCTAAGCCTCAGCTTGCGCACCTGTCAAATGGGGGTGATATACACCCTACCCATGTCAGAGTGTGGTTTTGAGGACCAGAAGCTCCGCTTTAATCTCAGTAGCTCTTGCTGATATGCAATTATTCATTCCTTCAACAAGTATTTTTTAGTATCTACTGTATGCAATGCACTGAGGTCCAGTGACTAACGACACAGTCAAGTACCCTGCTCCCCTGGACCCAACATTCTGGTGAGAAAAGAGGCAATTGACACTGAATTTAAACAGATATTTTCAAATAGCAGATACATGTTTGAACAAAGTGAGACAAGGTAATGGGGTAGAGAGAGACAGGCGCTTAGATTGGCTGCTCTTTCAGACAAAGTGGTCCAGGAGGGCTTCCCTGAGGAGGTGACAGGTGGCTGGCTAGAAAATTAGACAGTGGCTGCCTCCTGAGATCTGGATGAAGGGCACCCCTTGCCAAGGCCTTGAGGCAAGGACAAGCTCGCTGTGTTCCAAGGACAGTGAAAGGATGTTCATTTATCTGGGGACTCAAAGCTGCTGGCCCAGAGACACACAAAGAGGCCCCCCAACACCCACCCTGGATGGCTCCTTGAGCCCCTTACGACTGTCCACCAGGGGGCAGCAGTGTCCTTCCCACCCAGGCTGAGGACGGTGCCTGCTCCTGGACCCGAGGGACTGTTCTCCTTGTGCTGATGCTCAAAGCTTGTTCCTGGGCCCTGGTTATGTTCAGCCCTTCAAGATATGTGGGGCAGAAAGATCCCAATTTTTTAAGCCTAGTAAGAAATAGGCAAATACTCAACATCAAGGATTCAGGCAAGAAATCCACATTGGTGACAAATACTAGAAGGAGAAGCCTGGAGGACTGACTGATGGACTCCCTTTCCCTTGGACTCCAAGGCCATGATCTACTTTTCCTTCCTGCAACCGACAGCATGGATAGGGCCCTGCCTGCAGGGGTGGATGACCTCCCAGGCCTCCCAGGGCCACATCCATGCCCTCCTGTCTGCAAAGAAGTATTCTTCACTGAGCTCCAAGCAGAGCTGGGGATGTTCGCCTATGACTTCCAACTCTGAAGATACACCCAGAGACAGGAGGGGGCTCAGTAAGAGAGTTTGGGGATCCCTTTCCCCCCTTCCAGCTATGGAGTAGCAACAGGCTTGTCCTGGGCAGCAGCATGGCCTGGCACAGGAGCAGGTGGCCTGGAGCTCTCCACTGTCTCTGTGGCCTCCACGTGGCGTTTTGCACATCACATGGGCTCCCCTGGGAGTCCAGCTGGGATGCGGATTGGATAGGTGGTGGGTGGTGGGTGGGTCGGGTGTGTGCACAGCAGCTTCAGCATGGAAGTAGACATACGGACTATTGCTAAATGTGAGCAACGAATAATAAATGTGTCTTTCTTTGTTTTTATATTTTATGGTATTTAGCTACTATGTTTTTTTTAAATCTCCATAGTTCAAAATTCAAAAGACATTAAAGGGAAAACAAGAGAAAGTAGAGTAGGAGCAGGTACCTAAGGGACAGGGCCACGTATCAAATGAAAACGCCCAGCCCCTTGTTCAGTAATTATTAAGCATTTCAAGTCAGCAAGAGATCATTGAACCAAGCACCAGGTCCCTCCGAGGGCAGGTCGCACACGTCCTGAGTAGGCGACTGTGTTTTCAGTGCCCGCCAGCATCACAGGGCCCTTGGCCAGACCCACTTAAAGATGAAAGAGGCTGGCTTTGCAGGGACCACGTGCAGCCAGACTGAATGTTTTGTATCTTCCCCAGAGTCAGAACCAGGACAGAATGTTCCACGTGGGGTTGGAGAGTGGGGGTCTGAGGGCCCACAGCGTCCCTCCCGTCAGGACTCGGGGCTGCTGACCAATCCCCAGGGCAGAGGGAGCTGGGCTGACAGATGGCAGACCCCCCACTCCCCACCCCCACGCTCCAGTCCTGAGTCCCACATGGCCCTGGGAACCCACCCAGGAGGGTGGGTATGGGCAGAGGGGGGCACCGTGTGGGTGGGGGCTGTGACCTGGACCAAGTGCAGCAGGCAAACGTGGATGCAGCAAGGCAGCACCGCCTGGGGGCCCGTCCTCGCCGTCCCTTCAGTGAAGAGGACCAGATTAAGGAGATGCTCTGACCCTGGCCAGTCCTGTACCTGCCAAGGGGCAACTCCAGCTGCTAACGAATCACGGAGAGGATGCAGGCCAGGGCTCTGGGTGGCCCAGGCCCTCGGGGCTTAGGAAAAAACAAAACCAAATCTTATCACCAGATACCCTGGGCCGGGCCTGGCTGGTGCCACACTGCCCACGGGGACTTTGGGAAATGCTGACTTTTCTGCTGTCTGCCCCACTCAGCAGAGGCTCCCCCACGCCAGCCACCAGCAGCTCCCAGCAGAGGCAGGTGCTTCCAGCACCCGTCCTGTGGGCTTGTTCCCAGGAGTGCACAGTCTGGGGCGGCCACAGAACAGCCGGGGGCAGCAGCACCCAAATCTAAGAGCTGCGCTTGGCAGGCCCAGCTGTGCCAGTGGGCTGACAACAAGCCAGCAGTATGCACACCCGGGGGCGCCCTCTGGGTGGGGGGAGGGCAGGCTAGGTGAAAAGTTCATTCAGTTCAAGTAAGGACAATGGCCTCTATCAGGACTGTGCGTGCGTGTGTGTGTGTGTGTGTGTGTGTGCGTGTGTGTGTGTGTACTTTGGTGTGTGTGTCTTGAGGTATGGAGTGTTGGTGTGTGTGGTTTGCTGTGTGTGTGAGGTATTTGTATGTAAAGTGTTCCATGTGTCTTCATGGTGCAATGTGTGTATATGTGTGTGTCTGTGGAGTGTGTGTGTGTNTCAGGACTGTGCGTGTGTGTGTGTGTGTGTGTGTGTGTGTGCGTGTGTGTGTGTGTACTTTGGTGTGTGTGTCTTGAGGTATGGAGTGTTGGTGTGTGTGGTTTGCTGTGTGTGTGAGGTATTTGTATGTAAAGTGTTCCATGTGTCTTCATGGTGCAATGTGTGTGTATGTGTGTGTCTGTGGAGTGTGTGTGTGTGTGTGTGTGTATGGCGCAGAGCAAGAATACTGCATTTGGAGTTAAGATACCTTGGTTGGTTGGTTTTAGGTCACCAAATATGTCCTGGAGCTTATAATGTACCAGGTACTGCTCTGAGTGCTTCATGGATGTTAACTCATTTAGTCCTCACAGTAGTCCAATAACTAGGTGTTGTATTATCATCTCCATTAGACAGATGGGGAAACTGGGGCACAGAGAGGTTAAGTAATTTGTCCAAGTTGCACACTAGCATGTGGCAAAGTTGAGATCCAGGCTCCAGATCACCAGTTATTCCACCTCCTGCTTGAGAGCTTTGAAGCCTACCTCAGCCACTCACTGATGCTTTCTTCTATCCTCCATTCATTCATTCCACATGTGTTTACCAAGTGCAAACTATGTGCTGGGCGCTGTTCTGGGAACTGGGGAGGAGCACAGCCTGTTAGGGAGCCTGCATTCTGGTGAGGGAGGTGGGCCCTACACAAGAAACCTCATCGGGTGTCCAGAGGTAAGTGCAGTGGAGGAAGAATAAAGCAGGTGTCTGAGTCTATTCTGGCTGCTATAACAAATCACCAGAGACCGGGAGGTTAATAAACAACAGAGGTGTATTTCTCACAGTTCTAGAGACTGGAAGTCTGTGATGAGGGTGCCAGCATAGTCAGATTCTGGGGAAGACCCCCTTCCGGGCTGCGACTGCCGACTTTTTGCTGTGTCCTCACATGGTGGGAAGGGTGGGTGTGCTCTCTGGGGTCTCTTTCATAAGGGCATGAATCCCACTCATGAAGACTCCTCCCTCATGGCTAGTCACCTCTCAAAGGCTCCACCTAATACCATCACCTTGGGGGCTAGAATTCAGCGGATGAATCTGGGGTGGGCACAAACAGCAGGGTGAAGGGCTATAGTGTGACCTTGGGCCTATGGTGTCCCCTCTTTGAGCCTCTGTTCTCTTAGGCAAAGGAGCTGAGCTGAGAACGAGCCGGGAATATTCTCCAAACCCTAGGGCAGCGTGTGGGCCTGTGGACCACGGGCAAGGGGGCAGCAGTAAGAGGTGAGACGAGAAAAGAAGACTCACTTTTCTTCTGCACGCAGGGCCACGTGGACTGTAGAGAGCAGCGCTGCATACCCATCAAGGTTTCCAGGCAGAAAGGTAATATGAGCTGATTCATGTGTTAGGAGAACCATTATTAATTATTTAGATAGCACTAGGATTTGCCCATAGTAATTACAACAATGTTTTTAAAACATGTTTAGAAGACAATCGAGAAAATGAAAAAGAAGCGTCAGGGAAGGTGGCAGTAGGTTGGGTGGGAGTAGAGCCACCCTTCAGCCAGCAAATGACTTTTGCAGGTGTTTCCCTTAGGCTTAGCTTTAGCTTAATCAATCCTCATTTATCTTATATATAATAGTAATGGACTGTAAATGGAAATAACTGAATTGGTTTCCCAGGCTCTGTGATGAAAGGGATCAGATTTCCTCCCCCTTTACTTCCCACCCCTGGGAGAAAGGTAGCCCACTCCTGGGAGCAGGGTGGCCCACCTGCAGCTGCCTGGAGCACAGCATCTATCTGAAGGATGCTTCTTAGGACCAGCCCCCTCTCCCCAGAAGGGAGGCTCTTGGTTTCTACATGCCATTCAGTCTCTGCCAGAATGTGGCCTGGGAGTCAGGCTCTCTGGGTTCCTATTGTGTCACCTTGGCTGCCACTTGGGAAATGGGCAAACTGGGGGGAAAATAGAAGTCCCTGCAGCCAGGATCCTCACCTGACCCTGAACTACTTAATGATGTAATTGGCCTCCTGCTAGGCTACTGCTCCCACACCTGTAGGCAATGAGCTGGTATTGACTGAGTCACTGTATAAAGAGCTCTGCCCAGGGCTCTGGGCAGAGGCAGAGACGGCAGTGCATCATGGACCTGCAGACTGCTGGGTGCAGATGTGATTCTAGTGCTCGACCTACTGCCAGAACAAAGCCGGGTATAAACCCTTTTACCTCAAGAAAGGTCCATTGTCATTTCCGGGTCTCACTGAATCTGTAGTGAACTTGCCTGGGGCTGAAACTCTCAGGTAAGACACAAACCCAGCCTCACCCCTACTCACATCCCCCACCTGTGTTAGGAACCAGGCCCACCCCCACCCCACCACAGAGCATTGCTGAGGTCGGGGGGCGCTGCTTTAAGAAGGCATCTGGATGCTTGGGTTTTGGGTCCTGGCAGAGACCTCAGATGCCTGCACTGCCGTCTTCTCCTCCACATCCCCTTTGCCAGGCTCCTACCCAGTCCTCTGTCGCCTCCTGGAGAGGAAGCAGATTAGCATCTTAGGCAGCTGACAGGAAGTAAAGGGAAGAAAATTCCAAGGAAGTAAAAAGATTGAATTTGAAAATGTCTAGAAATTTTTCTAGTATTCCCACCCATGCAAATTACCTAGAATTACGCAGATTGTAATGTGAATCAATGGACATTTCCTCTTCTTTATTTCCAATCCCAGCTTTTTGTAACCCTGGAGGTGTTTGGGGAAGAAGGGATCCTGGTAGAACCCCTGTGCTAATGCAATGCTTGCAGAACTGAGTTTTCCGACTTCTCCCTCTCCCAGGACAACAGATTTCTTACTTTTGCTCTGTTTCCCTCTATTTTGGCCACGAGGCATCCCTGGGCCCTTGGGAAAGCCCTTTACCCACCCTCCCCCTGGTCCTAGTGACTGGGCGGGGCATTTGTGTGCCATACTTAGAGATGACGGGCAGGTTTGGAGGAGGGACGAACTGAAAATAGACTCATGCAAATAGAGTCTCTTTATGCTAATGACATGCAAATATAGCTCTTTTGCTCGCTCTCGCTCTCTCTCTTTGGCCCCTTGGAGCCAAGAAATGACTTGTCTATGTGCAGTGGACCAAAAAGAGGCCCAGAGAGAGAGCGAGAGACAAAGAAAGGGGAGAAAGAGAGGCCAGAGGGCCCTGGCTGGTCCCAGGGCAAAGGACAGCTGAGGAAGCAGGCAGCCTGGGCTTCCTGGAGGAAGCTGCAGATTCAGACATGGAGCTCAGGAGGAGCAGGGGTCAGGGGAGTGTCACCTACGTCTGAGTGTTCAGGCCAGGTGCTGAGCCCCTTCACCACCGCCCCAACAGGGAGGCCCTCTCACTACCTCCCTCCACCTGTCTCAAAACAGTCCCCCTCCCATCACGCTATTATCTCCTACAGTTGCTCACAAATGACAACACCCCCCCAGCGGCCCACCCAGCACTTGAACCCCTACTGGCCAAGGCAGCTTGCCTGAGGATTAGCTCCTCTTTGGAGAGCGCACAATGGCCCTCCATATCCT